CAGTCAGGAGCCTTTTATATTCGCAGCCCCTCAGAACGACATTCTGCGCCTCCTCTGCGCCCCATGGACTAGTGGGGCGGGGGAACAAGTGGCCCTCTCTAGATCCCTCCCTCCGCCCCTCCATTACCCCTCGTGGGGAGGGGAGATGGCAGGGGGAGTTGAGGTGCAAAAGGCCGATTTGCGAGTTAGGTAAAGAGGTTCTCTGTTGTTCAGAGCACTTAGCCCAGTTTCCTCCAGTTGCCAAAGGGCCGCGATCAGTCCTTCCTTTGCCCCCGCATCTCTCTGTCAGTCCGTTGACAAACAGAACTGTCTTAGAAGAGTAAATACAAGGCACTTGACGTACTGAAAGAAAGGAAAGACCCTACAGGTCTTCAAATTGAATTTCGAAGACAGAACACATACATTGCGACAAACTTCTTGACCTCTTTCCACCCCCTCCACCCCGTTAACATCAGGACACTTTCACACTGATGTGCTTTATTAACAGTGTGAACGCAGTAGTTGTTGCTGAAAGGGAGCTGAAAGGGGAGTCTGATCGAGAGGTAATCTTGGGAGATGGGATCTTGGTTGCAGGGAACACGAACTGAGAGAGACTTTTCCTGGTAAGGATTTATAGGAGTGATGTGCTCCAAAGGCAAAATGTTGTTCTTTCTAAATGGGAATGAGTCTATAATCCGAATAAAATGATCTGGGGTCGTGGGACAGCCAAAGGGATTTCTCGAGAACCCCAGTTCAAGCTCTTCGTACTCGGCCGTCAGTTCTTGGCTTTGGGGCGAATTTGGTGAACTGCATCTGGCCCCATGGTCCCGAGGGCACAATTTCTTCTCACCTCATTCTACCAGCCTTCTTCTCCCCTGGGGGACACAGGAAAGAAACTCCCGAACTCAATCCCAGCTCAGGCCTATGAGGGAAGCCATTACCGCCAGATGCGACCTCTGTGCGGTTCGCTCAGGAATCCTAGGACTTTCACGGGAAAGGGACCCCAGCCTGAGCCCTACGTCAAGGGAGATAGTGTGAACCAAAGTAGGCCAACTGGAAGCTCCACAAAAAACCTGAGTCCTGCTCAGCTCCTAAGCGTGCGTTTTCTCTGGACATTTCCTAATCCCAATGTTCTCCACCAAGCGCTCTGGACTCCGCTTTGGCCACCCATTCGATTTCGGTCGGAAAACAGACCCTAGCAGCTCTCCTTCGCCTCAACGAAATTACTAAGTGGAATTTATTGGACAAGTCCATGCAGGGCGAAGGGGAGAGCGTGGGTCCCGGACCTGGCGCCCACTAGCTTTAGAAGCGCAGGCACCCGGGCCGCGCTCGGAGCAAGAAATGCCCGTAACCTGGGCCTGCCTGCCCCACCACGCGAGTCGTGACAGGCTCCGGGGGCTACCAAACCCACTGGGCAGCAAGGGTTCTGTTCCCCAGCCGGCCCTTGGCTTTCACACGATCCTCCGTGACTGCACCAGCTTGAGCGCCTTTAAAGGGCCACACACCCCCGCAACCACTATAAAATATCCCTGGCGGCCGCACCGCTGTCCAAGGGGTGCTGTGGAGCAGCCTCGGGGAGGCCGGCTCCTCCCGCCCCCCCTGCCCCTGCTCGCAGCTCTGGGCTCCCGCGGCTTCCCCACGACCTGGTAGAGAGCCGGGGAGGCGCAGTACCCGCTCGGCCCTCCGTGAGTATCCAGTTCAGATTTTGCCACCAACTCGCCCACGAGCCAGGACATGTGCTAATAATGCCCTAAACCAGTTATAAAGACGTGGAAATTGGGGGGCGGGGGGGAGGGTCTGTCCTTCTCGGGATTCCTAGCGGAGGCCAGCCGCTGCCTTCCGCGTGTGCGTCAGGGCTCTGCGGGCGCCAAGAAGGGCTTGAGCACGGGGTCCCCCGCGCGCG